TTTAGGGTTAGGTTAAGGATTAGGTTTAGGTTTAGGGTTAGGTTAGGGGTTAGGTTTAGGGTTAGGATTAGGTTTAGGGGGGGTTAGGTTTAGGGGTTAATTTTAGGTTTAGGGTTTACAGCGTGCTTGTCTCCGCGCTGTTGTCGCCCTGTTGATGACGTCAGCGACGCGGTTTAGTCGGGCGCGGTTTAGTCGAGCGCGGTTTTGTGGTGGAACCCTGGTGTTAAGTCCTGAACTCAGATCCAATTTTATATGTTCTCCAGGACAAATTCCAAAACAGAATGTGAATCGGTCAGCTGTTGGCTTTGCTTGGCTCCATTGGTTTTAACTCACAGGCTGTTTTTCAACTTAACAATCCTACATCTTGCAGCATGGTCAGAGTTGACCGGAGGAACTGACGTCACGACGACACGACATGCGATCTTGGAGTAATTTACTTGGAGTAAATTCCCCTGGGCTAAGAAGAACTCCATTACCTGCATCGGCTTAGAGTCACTGGCCTCCTCCACCCGAGCTTTTTCTGCAGAGGCAACGTTCTCATATTCGATTTTAGTTAGTTCCTTGGAATCATCATCTCGCAATTCTTCAGCAATAATTTTGTGCTCCTTTACGGGAGAGGGAAAAAAGAGACATTGTATATTTAGCTAAATAGATTCAGTCAGGATCAATAAGAAGACAATTTAAAAGGCAGCGAAGTGTGGATCAATATGGGGATTTCAGTACATTTTCTGTTCAATAGTATTTAATTTAAACATATTCTTCCGTCATTGAAGCTGTAGCCTGGTTTTCCTTTGGGAGTTTAAGATGATATTTATTTATTTCGAAAATTTATCTTGCTGCCTGCTTGCACATGGCGACTCAAGGCAGCTTGCAAGGACATAAAAACACAATATAAAAGAAATAGAAAATAATAAAGTAAAATAATAATAAGCCCTCTACCCCGGCGACGAAAGACAATCATATTAATCATTTAATGGGCTCCGTTCCGCACTGAGTTCCCCAGCCTTGCTGGCAGAACCACGTTTTCAGGTATACATGGGGATCCTCTCCTCATTCTCTTTCAAAAATGTTTAAATAAAATAAGCCGACTTGGTGATTTGCAATATTTTTAAACTATCCCAATCAGTGGAGATTCTAAGTCAATGATGGCTAACTTTTTTGTCATTGCGTGCCGAAAGTGCACGCTGGCAATGCCGCACCCCCTGCGCCACTGCGTATGTGTGCTCGCCCCCCCCTTCCCATAGCAATAGCAATAGCCGTTAGACTTATATACCGCTTCATAGGGCTTTCAGCCCTCTCTAAGCGGTTTACAGAGTCAGCATATCGCCCCCACAGNGCGCCTTTGGGAATCAGGCCAATGTCAACATAACCTACGTGAGGAAGACAAAATGGAATAAAAAATATCTCCAGGTGTTCTTGAAGACCCTGTGGACATCATCCAGTGGTCCAAAATGTTGGGACTTGTAAGCAGGGGTAGGCTTCAAAAAGTTTAGCAAGGGGTTCTCTGCCCATTGCTGGGTGCGTGTGGCCTAGTCAGCCTCCTGCACCATGGCGGGGAAGGTGTGTTTTTGCCCTCCTTGGGCTCCAGAGGCTTTTCTCCGGGAGGGTGAAAACGTCCTCTCCAGGCTCCAAAGGCTCTCTGGAGGCTGGAAATGGGCCCATTACTGGCCTTCCTGAACTTCCAGTGCACCTGTTTTCGCCCTCCCCAAGCCTCCGTGTGTGCCCTGCACTTACCTGTATCCAAAACGGGCTGCGTGGGAACTCCTGGGAGGGGAAGGCAGGGCCAACCAGGAGTGGGATTTGGGGGTTCTCCGAACTGCACAGAATCTTAGCTAGAGGTTCTCCCGAACCCCTGCGAACCCCAAGCAGCCCAATCTTGCGAAAGGCCCCAAAAACGATAAATAGCCTAATTTGGCTTAGAACAGAGGTGAGCAATATTAACCTCTAGCACTTTAATCCCAGTTCAAGAGGTTTTTTAAATATTATCAATTTTATTAATTTAATTTAATTTAAGCATCTCTTCACACCTTTGTAATGAATGTACACCTATATCAGTGGTGAGTTACAGCCTGGGAGCAGCAGGCACTGTTCCGGTATGGTGCATCGGAGGGCCCATCTGCCCTCCTTACCTGTATTTGAACCAACCAGGCCATTTGCACTGCGTACAATGTCTGTGCGACGCTCCGCCGAGCAGCTGGAGCATCGCAGGTGGTGGATACACATACGTGAGCAGCGTGCATGCACGTGGTAGATGCCCTGCCCCATCGCAGTGTACTGGTTACGATGGGTTCCGGAACCCACCACTAACCTATATGTAGATTTTTGGCCCAGAAATTTCTAACACATACATTAAAGACAGCCATTTGGTTGTTTAACAACCACTTGAAGTTACAACAGCACTGAAAAAAGTTATTTGTGAACAGCCCACGCACTTATGACTATCACAGTGTCTCTGTGGTCAAAATTCAGACACTTGACAACTGACATGTATTTATGATCGCCACGATGTAAAAAAGATGTCGACATTCTAGAAAGAGTGCAGAAAAGAGCAACAAAGATGATTAGGGGACTGGAGGCTAAGGTTAACTTAGTGACCATTCAAAGTTACAGTGCCACTGGAAAAGTGACTTGTGACCAGTTTTCAGACTTATGACTGCTGCAGCATCCCCATGGTCAAGTGATTTACATTCAGATTGCTTGACAACTGGCTCACATTTATGATGGTTTTACTATCCCTGTGATCATGTGACCACCTTTCTGAGAAGCAAATTCAATGGGGAAACCAGATTCAGTTAACAACTTTTTCACTTAGCCGCATAAATTTTGGGCTCAATTGTGATTGTAAGTAGAGGACTACCTGTAGTAGCTCGGTTGTTTAAATAATAATGTGATGTAGTAAGGCTTAATAATAACAATAAGATTATACAGTAGGGCAATATATATGGACTTCAATTGTGAACTGGGAGTCGAAGTCCACATAACTTAAATGTTCTGAGACTGAGAAGCATTGGTCTAATTTAGGGTTTCTTAAACTTGGCCACTTTAAGGCACATAGAACTCAATTCTCAGAATTCCCCAGCCAGTATGGGATCTCTTGAATTTCTGAGAAATTTTGGTAGGGGTAATGGTTTTGGTTTTCTCTGGGAACAAGAGTGGGTGGAAAAGTGGTTTTGTTTTCAGCCTTGCTGTCAACAAGTTGTCAACCTGAAGAAAAAACTGAAAGCAATCACCTACCGTATTTTTCGGAATATAAGACGCACCTTTCCCCCCCCTAAAAGAGGGTAAAAATTTGGGTGCTGTTAGGTAAGCTCCCTATTGGGAGGGAGAATACATTCAGCGAAGTGTTGTGAGAGTTGTGTTGGAGAACACACAAATCAGCATACAGAGCCACTGCAGTTTAAGTAGGCTTTTACTCTCGTGGAAATAGAAGTATCAGAG